ATTCATCTGTATTAAAATTTGATATTGGTTGTGAAAAAGTATCCACTGATTGTTGATCAACATATTGAATTAATAATTCAGTAAATGACTAAATCAAAAGAAATCTTTCAAAACCAAAAAAACACAGAAAAGATTTTCTTCACGCACTTTATCCGATTGATCAAATGAAATGTTCGATTGTATTCTTGGTTTTGATGAATTTGTATTAAGCCAACCAGTTAACCAATTTGTACTTGCACTATTATTATAATTATTCGATATTGCATTCATAACTTTTTGATATTCTTCTTGTGTAAATCCAACTAAGGCACCTAAAATTGGAATAACTTCTTGTTGTTTATCAATTGGTGTATGAAAATAAGATAAAAGAATATTTTTAACAAGTTGTTTTTCAATACGTGTATCATTTATTGTTTGAAAATTTTCATTAAATTCTAAAATTTGTTTATTTCTATTTTCAATTTCAATTTGAAGTTTATTTATTAATAAATCTTTTATTTTTATTTCATCATTTAAACGATTTACAGATAATAATATTTCATTATATTCTTCTAAATGTTGATGAAGTTCATTATTTTCATTTGTTAAACGAGCTGAGATTGAGATTTGTTCACGTAAAGAATCTTGATATTGAAATAAATGTTCATTTATATGTTGTTCATGTTCTGAAAAATAAAACAATCAATTGATATGTGTTATTAAAATTTTAAAAAAACGATGTTTCTTTTTTTCACATAGTTTATAAAAAAAATTTTAATCATCAACATTCGGGTTTTTTTTTTGTATGAACTAAAGAATAATTATATTATAGATAGATGAAGAATCTTGAAAATTTTCTATATATTTCTGAATATTCATGGATGTAGTTTTAAAAGAAAATCCAAGAAAAAAAAATTTGTTTTACCTTGTTGAAATTGATTAAGACTATTTTGTAAATTTTGTGAATATTTAATTTGATCTTGTAATTGATTAGTTAAATTTATATTCAATTCTTTAATTTTTGCATATTCGTGTTTTAATGTTTCTAATTCTATTAATAATTCTTGTTGAGATGGTTCATTATTGTTAGTAAATTGATGAATAAGTTCGACTTTTTCTTGATTTGAATTATTTATTTGTTCAAGTTGATTTCTTAATGATTTTTCTATTTGACATAAACGTTCAACTTCATTCGTTAACTTTACTTCACGTTCTTCAGATTGTAAAAGCTAAAAAAATAAAATAAAAAGAATTTATTATTTTTTTTTGTTTTAAAAATTTCAAACTTTTTCTCTATTAAATTTTATTTCATTTTCTATTTGTTTTTTTTCTACAATAGCTAAATCTCGTTCATGTGTAATACGTTTTAAATCTAATTGTATTTGTTCAAATAATTGTTGATTTGATTTTAATTTAATATTATTTTCTTCTAATAATTTCATATTAGTTTCTAATTCAGTTTGTTTTATAAGTAATTGATTTTCATTATTAATTAATTGTTGAAGTTTTATTTCACGTTCATTTAATGTTGAACGTAATAAATCAATATCATCAGATTTTTTCTTTTGATGATATAATAAATTTTGATAAGTATTTAATTCATTTTGACATTGTAAATATGCTTCATTTTTTTGTTGAATTAATGATTGAATAGATTTATAATCGATTTCAAGTTGATTGTATTTTGTATTAAGATCATTATAGAGAGTAAAAATACGTGTATATTCATTATAATATGATACAGATTCATCTTGTTGACGTTTATATAATTCAAGTAATTGATTATAATTACAATAAAGATTTCCATATTGTTCTTCAGTGATATCTTTTTCAGTCTGAATAAATTAAAATAAAAAATGATTTAGAAAAATAATATAAACTGATGGTGGATAGAAGTTACATTCAATTGTATCTTTAACCTATCACAGCCATAATAATAATTAACAAAACCTCAAAAATAATTTGAATAATTGAAGACTATGGAGACAATGATGAGTGATTTTTTTTCTTGTGACCCTGGCAGCTCTTAACTAGAGATGTAACTTCATATTATGGCTACAAGTAATTCTCAGTGAGACTAAGACAAGCTTAAAAGGATTCAGATTCATGGCTTACTAATAAAAAGTTATGACCATTTAAATGAAATTTTTACTGCAAACAAGGTCACTTCCGGAAGATCCAAAATAAAGAGTTTCAATCTGAAATTTTGTCTATAGACACGTTCGATAGAGGAACCAGGGCTGCCATATCTTAATTTTCAAATGGGGTGTACCAGATTTCAAATGGGGTACTCTTGGGGTACATTTTTTTTACAATGGGGTACGTCATTGAGGTACATAACTTTTTATTGAAATAGAAGGGTTAATGTGGAAACACTTAAAAGAAACCGCTTTTCTATGAAACAACATAATATTCAATTTTTCTCTTTTAGAAATCAATTTCATTGTTGTTTTTTTAACACAATAAAATACTCTCAGTTTAATCATGACTTTTAGAAACAAATCTAAGTACTATAAAAATAAACGATATAACATTTTTCATTAAGGCATAATAAATATTGAAATCAACTATAGTACTTTGGCGTCAAATTCAAGATAAAAACTTTTTTTTCAGTTCTGATGTTTTTTACTTTTTCGTATTTTTCTATAAGCAAGAAACATAAAACAGTTACTGGATATTGTGGGTATAGTTATAGAGAGACCGCTACCAGCTACAATTAACATTATTTCAAAGAGTAACAGCTGTTAATAAATATAAATAATTATTCCTATAATATACACGTTCGGACAAAAGTTTTTTCCTCTTTACCTTTTTATGATATCATAGTTTGATTCAAATTTATTGCCAAATAGAGATATGACATGAGAGTTTTATTTCAGTATGGTGTACAGATCATACAGTAATAAAACTCTCATGTCATATCTCTACTCGGTAATAAATTTGAATTCAAGTATGGCAGCATAAACAGATAACGGGGAAAAGACTTTTGTCCGGAGATCTATAAATGTCTCTTATCTCATCTGGTTTTTTTTTATTCCTCTGGTAAGCGTTTATTATAGTTTTACAGTTCTATAATATACTTATACAACGTAGCTATTATTTGCCAACAGGAATTTATTTAATCATTCTAATTGGCTTAGTTATGAAAAAAATGAACCTTAGTTCTGACACTGGTGCCCGTAATCCCAGCCATAGTGGTTTTTGATTTGGTACTAATCGCAGACGAAAGGAGGCAAAACAATGATTACACATGCTCGCTAATACAACGATATTTTAATTAACCGTTATCCTTTGTTAGAAGGATCTACAGATAGTAGAATGGATGCAAATAAATAGGAAGTTGTAGACGAAAAACAATACAATGAAGGCAAAGATGAGAGAGTAATACGAATACATAATATAACATTGAATAATCCTTTAATAAACAGAAACCTTTCAAATAATACTTCTGGACTTAGAGACTATAGTGATTTTTAACCACTTAAGGCCCCACCCCCATCCAAAAGATAACTTTTTCATAGAACATGCAAAACATATGAAATTTTCAGGATATGCTAGGGCTCTAGTGAGGATGCTATGGTAAAATTTTGAGCTTGATCCCAAGAGACTTTCTGGAGATACTGATCAAACAAAGATAAAAAATAGCTATTTTTGTTTCCCAAATTTCTCTGTCGGATTTCAGTCTATCTATCTCATTGTTTTTCTGTTTGATAGAGCACGTCAGGCTGCAGAGAATAACAGAGTCCTTTTTTTTTGAAATCTTACTTTTTTTTTTGAAAAACCAATATCACAAGTTCAACGACTCAAAAAACTCTACGAAAATGTATAAAAAAATCAAAGTTTTTGTAGAGTTTTTTGAGATGTTGCACTTATGATATTGGTTTTTCAAAAAAAAAAGGACTCTGTTATTCTCTGCAGCCTGACGTGCTCTATCAAACAGAAAAACAATGAGATAGATAGACTGAAATCCGACAGAGAAATTTGGGAAACAAAAATAGCTATTTTTTATCTTTGTTTGATCAGTATCTCCAGAAAGTCTCTTGGGATCAAGCTCAAAATTTTACCATAGCATCCTCACTAGAGCCCTAGCATATCCTGAAAATTTCATATGTTTTGCATGTTCTATGAAAAAGTTATCTTTTGGATGGGGGTGGGGCCTTAAGTGGTTAAAAATCACTATAGTCTCTAAGTCCAGAAGTATTATTTGAAAGGTTTCTGTTTATTAAAGGATTATTCAATGTTATATTATGTATTCGTATTACTCTCTCATCTTTGCCTTCATTGTATTGTTTTTCGTCTACAACTTCCTATTTATTTGCATCCATTCTACTATCTGTAGATCCTTCTAACAAAGGATAACGGTTAATTAAAATATCGTTGTATTAGCGAGCATGTGTAATCATTGTTTTGCCTCCTTTCGTCTGCGATTAGTACCAAATCAAAAACCACTATGGCTGGGATTACGGGCACCAGTGTCAGAACTAAGGTTCATTTTTTTCATAACTAAGCCAATTAGAATGATTAAATAAATTCCTGTTGGCAAATAATAGCTACGTTGTATAAGTATATTATAGAACTGTAAAACTATAATAAACGCTTACCAGAGGAATAAAAAAAAACCAGATGAGATAAGAGACATTTATAGATCTCCGGACAAAAGTCTTTTCCCCGTTATCTGTTTATGCTGCCATACTTGAATTCAAATTTATTACCGAGTAGAGATATGACATGAGAGTTTTATTACTGTATGATCTGTACACCATACTGAAATAAAACTCTCATGTCATATCTCTATTTGGCAATAAATTTGAATCAAACTATGATATCATAAAAAGGTAAAGAGGAAAAGACTTTTGTCCGAACGTGTATATTATAGGAATAATTATTTATATTTATTAACAGCTGTTACTCTTTGAAATAATGTTAATTGTAGCTGGTAGCGGTCTCTCTATAACTATACCCACAATATCCAGTAACTGTTTTATGTTTCTTGCTTATAGAAAAATACGAAAAAGTAAAAAACATCAAAACTGAAAAAAAAGTTTTCATCTTGAATTTGACGCCAAAGTACTATAGTTGATTTCAATATTTATTATGCCTTAATGAAAAATGTTATATCGTTTATTTTTATAGTACTTAGATTTGTTTCTAAAAGTCATGATTAAACTGAGAGTATTTTATTGTGTTAAAAAAACAACAATGAAATTGATTTCTAAAAGAGAAAAATTGAATATTATGTTGTTTCATAGAAAAGCGGTTTCTTTTAAGTGTTTCCACATTAACCCTTCTATTTCAATAAAAAGTTATGTACCTCAATGACGTACCCCATTGTAAAAAAAATGTACCCCAAGAGTACCCCATTTGAAATCTGGTACACCCCATTTGAAAATTAAGATATGGCAGCCCTGGTTCCTCTATCGAACGTGTCTATAGACAAAATTTCAGATTGAAACTCTTTATTTTGGATCTTCCGGAAGTGACCTTGTTTGCAGTAAAAATTTCATTTAAATGGTCATAACTTTTTATTAGTAAGCCATGAATCTGAATCCTTTTAAGCTTGTCTTAGTCTCACTGAGAATTACTTGTAGCCATAATATGAAGTTACATCTCTAGTTAAGAGCTGCCAGGGTCACAAGAAAAAAAATCACTCATCATTGTCTCCATAGTCTTCAATTATTCAAATTATTTTTGAGGTTTTGTTAATTATTATTATGGCTGTGATAGGTTAAAGATACAATTGAATGTAACTTCTATCCACCATCAGTTTATATTATTTTTCTAAATCATTTTTTATTTTAATTTATTCAGACTGAAAAAGATATCACTGAAGAACAATATGGAAATCTTTATTGTAATTATAATCAATTACTTGAATTATATAAACGTCAACAAGATGAATCTGTATCATATTATAATGAATATACACGTATTTTTACTCTCTATAATGATCTTAATACAAAATACAATCAACTTGAAATCGATTATAAATCTATTCAATCATTAATTCAACAAAAAAATGAAGCATATTTACAATGTCAAAATGAATTAAATACTTATCAAAATTTATTATATCATCAAAAGAAAAAATCTGATGATATTGATTTATTACGTTCAACATTAAATGAACGTGAAATAAAACTTCAACAATTAATTAATAATGAAAATCAATTACTTATAAAACAAACTGAATTAGAAACTAATATGAAATTATTAGAAGAAAATAATATTAAATTAAAATCAAATCAACAATTATTTGAACAAATACAATTAGATTTAAAACGTATTACACATGAACGAGATTTAGCTATTGTAGAAAAAAAACAAATAGAAAATGAAATAAAATTTAATAGAGAAAAAGTTTGAAATTTTTAAAACAAAAAAAAAATAATAAATTCTCTTTATTTTATTTTTTTAGCTTTTACAATCTGAAGAACGTGAAGTAAAGTTAACGAATGAAGTCGAACGTTTATGTCAAATAGAAAAATCATTAAGAAATCAACTTGAACAAATAAATAATTCAAATCAAGAAAAAGTCGAACTTATTCATCAATTTACTAACAATAATGAACCATCTCAACAAGAATTATTAATAGAATTAGAAACATTAAAACACGAATATGCAAAAATTAAAGAATTGAATATAAATTTAACTAATCAATTACAAGATCAAATTAAATATTCACAAAATTTACAAAATAGTCTTAATCAATTTCAACAAGGTAAAACAAATTTTTTTTTCTTGGATTTTCTTTTAAAACTACATCCATGAATATTCAGAAATATATAGAAAATTTTCAAGATTCTTCATCTATCTATAATATAATTATTCTTTAGTTCATACAAAAAAAAAACCCGAATGTTGATGATTAAAATTTTTTTTATAAACTATGTGAAAAAAAGAAACATCGTTTTTTTAAAATTTTAATAACACATATCAATTGATTGTTTTATTTTTCAGAACATGAACAACATATAAATGAACATTTATTTCAATATCAAGATTCTTTACGTGAACAAATCTCAATCTCAGCTCGTTTAACAAATGAAAATAATGAACTTCATCAACATTTAGAAGAATATAATGAAATATTATTATCTGTAAATCGTTTAAATGATGAAATAAAAATAAAAGATTTATTAATAAATAAACTTCAAATTGAAATTGAAAATAGAAATAAACAAATTTTAGAATTTAATGAAAATTTTCAAACAATAAATGATACACGTATTGAAAAACAACTTGTTAAAAATATTCTTTTATCTTATTTTCATACACCAATTGATAAACAACAAGAAGTTATTCCAATTTTAGGTGCCTTAGTTGGATTTACACAAGAAGAATATCAAAAAGTTATGAATGCAATATCGAATAATTATAATAATAGTGCAAGTACAAATTGGTTAACTGGTTGGCTTAATACAAATTCATCAAAACCAAGAATACAATCGAACATTTCATTTGATCAATCGGATAAAGTGCGTGAAGAAAATCTTTTCTGTGTTTTTTTGGTTTTGAAAGATTTCTTTTGATTTAGTCATTTACTGAATTATTAATTCAATATGTTGATCAACAATCAGTGGATACTTTTTCACAACCAATATCAAATTTTAATACAGATGAAT